CCTGTAAATATACTGCTTGAGAGCGAGGCGCATAAGACAAGATACAAAGACGCCAGCATTAACAGTTCGATCAGCTGGACAGCGGCAACAATAGCACCACCAAAGCGAGGCCAGCAGGCCTTACCGAGCTCCTTATAATTGGACCTGACTCGAATTCTTTCGCCTTCGTTGTTGGTCTCATACAGGCACTCTATCAATATAGCTCCGGTGTAGTAGGTGATAAAGGGAACCATGACCAGAGCTGCTATCGCTACCAGACCACTCTCAGCAATCACGTAAGGAAGAGCGAGGAGGCCGGTGCCCTCGATATCACTCATGAGGTTAGCAACCGCTTTCCATAAGCTCGACCTTTCTGCAGACTCTTCATTTTGATCGACCGCGTCTTCTTCTTGGATCAGGATTTTTTTTTCATGTTCTTTTCCTTCTCGTTCTTCCTCTCCTTCTTCAGTATGGTTTTTCAGCAAATGATAGCTGGTAGTTTCAGACATTTTGCTGTGCAAAACAATCTTGTTATTTCTGAGAAAAATAATTTACTCTGTTTGGATATGGTATGTAACAGCTGTTTATCAATAATAAATGCGAATCAAATGTTCCAAATTCCCTTCCCCCCTCCCCAGATATCGAAGGAATTTTGTTCGCTAAACGAGAACCAGGAAAAGTCATTCAACACCATGGAAAATGTTGTGGCTCACGTCTTCTCGTAATAAAGATCAATAATGGCGCACAAAGTTGACTACATACATAAGTGAAGGCCGAAAACGCTCACGGTACCGTTCAAAATTACTTGATGAAATATGACAACTATAATATTTGAAACTATTACCTTTTACGGTAAAATATCAATTCAGTATCTATTTTTGACAGGTAACAGTGGAAATTTACGAAATGAAAACGTTTACAATTTGACGTAATGAACAAAATTATGACCAAATTTAAACATGCGATCAGAATGGCAAGCAAGTCTTTTGAGGCACCCTATTTTTAACGCTAAAAGTGAACTTCCTCGGAACGATACGCGGCGAAATTTGTTCCATCCGTTCTTACATGGATGGGACCTATAATATCTTCAGATCACTTCAAACCTTGCAATATAATGAGTTACCTCTATATGGAGTTCTTGCAGCTGACATATGCTTAAGATATAAACTAAATACTCAATGGTGTAGTTCTGAAAGAAGTCGTTTCGTTTCTAAAGGAAAAATCTACATATTTATGATATGTCATTTAAATTTCCTTCCGCTTGATAATAAGGTACTTTGGTGTAGAATTATATCAAAATTATTTTCTTAAACACTCAGCTGTTTAGAAAAACGAAGCACGGTTTCTTTAGATGTGTTTTTATTCAACTAGAAGACTATTCTTCGTGTTCATGTTTATATTGCAATTCTTAAAATGTGTAGTATAATAACAAAACTAAGATACAAAAGGCCGTAAAAGATATATTGCAAGAGTGTTTTTTTTATTGTTATCCTGTATTTAGTGGGAAGGTGGAAGCTAATTCGGAAATCACTGCTGTGTTCAAGTGAAAACAATTAGCGATTATTAACGTATTTTGGGTGATATTAGAGAAATTCGGATTCAGGAAAAGTTGGGATACTCGGATTGGTTGAAATTTTACAAAGAAGTAAATAGCTTGTGCATATGTTTACTTTTGTCATGGTGCAATAATTGTTTTCAAAATTATTTTAGATGAAGAGAAAATAATCAAACAGGTGAATTTTGAATATACTGCAATGATTCTCTGACGCACTTTATTGCGCATTTTGCTGGCGATTTTAATAAATTTATCTTTAAGGGGTATCGAAGTGGAGGAAATGCTGCCAAAGAAAGAACTCACCACTGATCAGAATAAGATGAAGTCTTCTGTGAGTCGGTCACTGCAACTGGCTACTTAAACATTTGTGCAAACGAAGACAAACGAACGCCGCTGGATGCGATTTGAAGTCTTCTTATTATGCTCGACGTAGGAGAACGCAAACTATTGATGTTGTAATTTCAGTTCCACGTGTATTCATGGTATCCCGCGGGTATCGATCTGAAGCCAAAGGCCGGAAACCAGCCCGTTCCAGCTTTTCGACGCCATCTTGGCCTGACTGACACACATGGCTTCGGTCTCATGCTGGTATCTATTCACCTCGATCTCATGATTTACTGAGCGTCGCTTACCATTGGGTCTCTTTGGCTCAGTGGTAAAGCATCGGGGCGTGGTTGGTCTGAAGTTTGATTCCTCACGGAGACTCAGAATTTTTCTTTGTCATACGCGCGTGACAAGACGATAAACGTCTTTCGCTATTTCTTTCATCTTACTTATGATATTCATGTTGTGATTGAGTCAGTGTCTCGGGGTAGACTCGTTTCAATTCAGTCTCTGTTGTATAGAATCTATTTTTCGGCACGCTGTTTTGTGATATTAAAATATTATGTTAAATGTTAACATTTTCAAACCGTCAGTTTAGGCGAAAATTAATTGAAATAATCACATAGTTAATATATTTAGAAACCTAACAGTCCCAAAGATTCTTCGAGAAGCAGAATTGTCCTTGCAAGCCTTTAAAATGATGAGTTTTGAAAAATCCTCAAACTGTTTGGCAGCTGATCCTGGGCTGCTTTTTTTACAGTTGACTGTTAAATTTTAGGAAAAAGGTAAGTTCCCAAAGAAACAGAGGTGCTGCGTCAGTGGGAGATGCCACATATCGTACACATCTCAACGCACAACACGCAATTTACTTAATACGCTCTAAAGAAGGGCTAACACTCGAAAAGTCAGCTTCAGAAACTCCTTATGGTGGCCAATATACTTTATCATCAGTTGTATCCTTGGTAAAATTTACCCGAGAAAGAATAAAGATTGAAAATCAAAGCCGAAAATATTTACAAAGGTATTAATTATAGCTGGCCAAGATGTTTTCCAGTCTGTAATATTCTGTACTCACCTGTATCCGCAAACTTCATGAAATCACGACTAAACAGCTGGGATTCAACTGGTATCGGTGTGGATATGAATTAAATACAAACATGAAACAAGTTTCTTCTCAAGGCTGCTGTTTTGGTCCTGTAGGAATTTTCTCGACAAACATTGCATGCGTTCCCCTTATGAAAAATTGTCATGTATTCATACAAGACTATAAAAGGCTACACGGTCTACTGATCCGCACTTTAGTAACACCGCTATTTGCATGCTATCTCAAGCCAATTGCGACAAACAGGAAAATCAGTCTATCTATTTAGTTTTTTTACTAATTATAGTTAAAATTTTTCAATTTTACCGCCGAAGGGCTATGTCTGTTTTTACCATTTTACGGCTGACGGTTAACCGGTTCCAGTAAGAGGGTCTGAATGGGGGGGTCAAAATGTCGGTTGTCGGTTAAAATTTTATTACTTTGTCGGTTGTCGGTTAAGATTTTTGACCTTTGTCGGTTGTCGGTAAATCTCAGTTAATAATTAAAAATACACGTTAATTATTCACATTTATTATGCAATTTGCCCAGTTTTAAGACTTTAAACTCTAGACGATGTGTAATACTTGTAATAATTCATTATTTGTTTTCACTTAAACCTCGTTAACGCTGTTTTTAATTTAGCAACGTGCTCATCTACCCCACTTTTGTTTGCAAATCTAGCATACCGATAAAATTCACCAAAGCTTTTATTATAGATGTGAATTTGTTTCCTGTC